GGGGGGGGGGGTAAAAATTGAATTTCTGATTATGTGGGGGACTCCGTTGCTTAAGCTGCCTTCTGGGGCTGCGTCTGCAAAAGGGAGGAAGATGTCGAAGTGTTTTAAAAGCGTGGTTTCGTTGGGCGGTAGTTTTTGCTTTGATTGCGCGCGAAAAGGGGGTTTAGTCTCATGCACCGTTGCTTGAATGCAGCTGGTTTTTCTTTGTATTTTTTTTTGTTTGATGGCCCGCAGGGGTGATGGTGTTGGTTCTTTCTCTTTTACGCATTTGGTGTGTCTCATGTGCGGATGCCCACCGAGCGGTTGTTGTATTTGTTGTTGGGGGACGCTGGGAGCCGCTATTCCGTGTGGACTCGCAGTGAACAGAAGGTGCGGAGCCGTGTGGCGGCTCTCTTTCCTTCAGTGCTGAGGGAGCCGCAAAAGTGTGGCTGAAGGCTTGTATACTCGATTATTTCCCCCTCTCCCGTTCAATTGGTGTAGGAACGTTCTCCAGCTGGTAGGGTGGGCGCAGTTTTTCTTTTGGGCGTTGGTCGGTGCTTTGGTCTCTTATTGCCAGTCACATGCGCTGCCTGCGCTCTGAGCNTGGTAGGGTGGGCGCAGTTTTTCTTTTGGGCGTTGGTCGGTGCTTTGGTCTCTTATTGCCAGTCACATGCGCTGCCTGCGCTCTGAGCCACGTGATGGTTTGTATGTTGTCTTGATCGCTTTCTGTTGGCTTGCACGTTTCCCCGTGGCCGCTTGTCACGCGTCATCGCACCGGTCGGGGTTGCGCATGCAGCCTCATAACCCGCACACTGAAGTAGGTGGGCTGTGAGCCAGCAGATTTTTTCTTCCCGGCTCGGGTGCTGAATGCCTTGTAGAGGGAATACCACAGGGATAGGGGGTGGGCTTCTGCACTGTTGTGCCTCGCTTGTGCCCACAGCGCTGTGTTAGCCGGTGTTCTGTGGTGAAATCGTGTGCCCATAGCGCTTGTGAAATATCGCTCCCTGCGAGTGTGGCCTTTTTTGTTGTATTGCTTCGTTGCCCTTCTAGCATGTACGTGCCTTTGCGGGCCTTGTTTTTTCCCTGCGTCTTGCTGCACTGATAGTTATACAAAGGTGACCGTATGGCATCGCGGGGTGCGCTGCCAGAGGACGACTCGGCGCTTGTCTCCGTCGATCTTCTCGATGTGCTGATGGTTTGCGTGAGAGGTGCCCTGGCGGCCCAGAGGTATATTGCGTTGGAGCTGCTGAGAGTGCGTGAGGTGGAAGCAAAGGTTCCTGATCTATTCATTATGGATCAAGACGGACAAACAAAGAAGGCTCTGCTTTCGTCACTTCACCACGCAGTGAGCGTTGACGTGAAGGAGCAGCTGCTCTACAAGGATGGCAATGCCGCGAGTGATTTTGTCACCACGGCAGACTTCATGACGCAGGCTGTTCTGGTGCAGGTCCTGCGGGCTGCGTTCCCCGAATTGCCGTTTTCCGTTGTGGGCGAGGAGGACGAGGCGGCGAGCGGCGCCACCGGCCGGCAGGCGGAGCACTGCGTTGCCGCCTATTACGACGCACTTGAGACGATCCCGCACCAGGCGGAGCTGGAGGCCCGTGTGGTGGGTGGGGCGAGAAGAGTGGCGTCCCCGACGTGGGAGAAGCTACGCGCGCGAGTTGGGGTATTCATTGATCCCATTGACGGAACCAACTGTTTCGTTGAGGGTCATTGGGAGGTGCCGCTGACGCTTGTGGGAATCACCCTCGATGGTGTTCCTGTTGCTGGGGTGGTCAACCGGGTCTTACGTTGCAACGTCGCGCAGGTGGAGCGTAGAGGCAGCAGTGCAAGTCTCTCATATGCGTTTAACTTGGGCGCTGCAGGACCCTTTATTGTGCACGAGGGCCAGCGTGTCGCGCCTCTTCTCTCGGCGCCCACGGCCGTGGGTGCGTGCAGCACATTGCGCGTAGCATCCTCGAGCACCACTGGCAAGAAGTGCCTGGCCAACTTCTTTCGCAAGCTACGACCCATCGAGATGCGCGGGGCGAGAGGCGCTGGCAACAAGCTTATGTTTCTTGTAGCTTCAATGCTTGAGGGATCACCTGCTCTGCGGAGCTGCGATGTCTTTTTCTCCCCTGAGAATACCATCAAGAAGTGGGACACGTGTGCCCCCCACGCACTTCTCTTGGCTCTGGGTGGGGAGCTCTACACGCAGTGTGGCGGTGCCATTCGGTACCCGTTGCACGGCGAAGAACAGGCAGCGCTGCCAAATGGGGTTGTGGGGGTGACGCGCTGGTCCAAAGTGGAAGTCTCGCGGCGCCTGGGCTGGCCCCGCCCCTCGCTGTAGTCAGACGAAGAAAACACATAAAGACCGTCTTGTCCTCTCCAGAAATGTAGACGTCGCGTGCGTGAGGTGTTTTTGTTTTGTGCGTTTGTGTGGCTGTGTGTACTTGATTTATGACTGATGGGGCAATTCTGATTCCTCTCGAATACGTTGTGTGGCTGTTTGGGTGTGTCTGTGTGTGCTAGAGCAGAGTCTACATGTCAGCGGAACCAAAAAACGGCCGAGAGGCACTGCGCGTACGCTTCTCAGAGGCGGCAAAGGGCGTCACGGAGTTGTACCGCGATGCGGTGGTGTCGTACGATGCGGGGTACCGTGACGCTCTGCTGCATGTCCATCGCTATGTTCTCCTCGCTGTCCAGAGCGCGACGGCGTCAACGGGGACCTCATCCCACAACGGCCAACAACACGTGAGGACGGAATTCACCCCACCACAGCTGCCGCCGTCGCCACCGTCGCTGGATGCGGGCCACTTGCTGCGGTTTATTCAGAGCACGCTGAAACGCCGCGATGCCTTGGCGGCCGCATCACGCAGTGTGGTGCGGCGACGCAAGCGTTCTTCCAGCCGTGCGGAGAGGACGGCGCACGGCGTGTGCCGCGAGGACGACCGTAGTACGCCGTACCGCCGTCTGCAGCCGCCCGTCGCTGCAGTGGAGAAGCCCGGTGATCTGGCGGTGGGCGACATGCTGCGCGATGTACATATTACTCCCCACGCGGAGTCCGACTCCGGGACCACCGACGACGAGGACTTTGCTGCAATGCTATAGTTCCGCTTGCTAGTGATGAGCAGAGTGGGTTGGCCTGCCTGGTGTGGTATTGGCAGCTCTGCGCCGCCCCACTGTGTGACGTCGTCATGCACAGCTTCTCTTCACCCCCTGATTCTGTTCGCTGATAAGGCAGCGCGGTAGGGAGTAGGCAGCATGCGGCGACAGCGACTGCAGGCGCCGTACACTGCGCGTCGATCCGGCTCACGCCACCATCACCATCACCACCACCGCAGCGGAGGGAAAAGGCTGGAATTGAAGAGGGCACGGTGTGACACCTAAGAAGTGGTGCACCTTACGGTAAAAGATGTTGCTTTGCCGGGGCCAGCCAATATTCCTGGCTCTTCTTCTACCACCTTGCCAGCCGTTCTACTAAGTGCAATGTGTGCATCAGTTGACATAAAAGGATACCATAACGGGAATGCTAGTCTTCAGGGCTGGTAACCAGGCGAAGACGTGGCACTGAGCGCGGCACAGGAGATCAGCCCGTCAGCGCGTTTGTGGCCGCAGAGTAAATGCTGAAGCTGTGATCGAAGCGGGTAATAACCCTGGCATTTATGCGGGGATGCAGGAATTGCTACGGCGCACCATGGCGCTAAAGATCTCCCAGCACCGCAGTTACATGCTCTATTGCGGTGGTGCAGATCATACGCGACACAATGCGCACAGAGCCCATGAAGGTGATGAGAGTGTCGGCCGGGTGCTTCATCAAGGTCTTGCGGTTGCGGTCACAGCAGGAACAGACTCTGATTCGCAACCCTGGGGACACGATGCTTACTGCAAGTGCCATCGCGATGTCACACCCCATCTAAGAATAAGTGCGGTGGCGGGGGAACAGTGTGGCGGAGGATTGCGAGGGTGACAGAGGACGGCACGAGAGCAGGTTCCTCAGATGGAGACGTGAGGTTTTGATGCCGCCTCTCCATAAAATGACGATGTGGTGAAGGGCGATGGAGGGTAATGAATCGTGGAAGCCGATATAACTACTGCGAGAAACGGAAGCGAAAAAATTCCGCATCGATGCCGTGATGGCTGTGGGGCAGTAAATTGCGGTGTGCCGCAATCAGCAGCAGCCCTTTTGTAGTCGCCTGTGTGGGTGCCAGGTGGGTGGGGTGGATCACCACCGCGAAGCACATGTGGCGGCTGCTCGTTGTTGCTCGTTCCCTTAGTTGCTGCTCCTGCTGCCTTCTGAAGGACCAAGGAAGGGATAGGTGAAAGGGGTAGAGGCACACACTGACACACATAGGATGAATCCATCGCTCCTTGAAAAAGAGTTGTTTGACTACGAGGGGCGAGTTCGCATCGAGAAGCACGCGCGGGAGCTAACAGACAGGAATGCTCGGTACTTTGCAGATAACCCAGAGGTTACACCTGTGCTACGTGACATTCTACAGCACTTGCTCATCCATAAGCCGGAGGACCCATTGGCGGCAATACAGGAATACGCTCGCGCCCGCCTCCCGCCTGCAATGAGATGACAGTGGTGAGGACTATTCGGTATCAATGTTGCATGACATGTAAAATGGGAGTTGTTCGTGCTGCATTGTATGTTGGTTTTCGGTGAAGCGTGATGTGCTCGACAGAAAAAGTACAAGTGGAACGGGTTGCTGTAGTTTCGTGTGCCAGTAGGGCCTGCTCTTTTGTGTGCATTACACTGCTCTTTCTCTGCCGTAGCTACCGTTAGGTTAGGTTGGGCTAGGTCAGGAATGTTTGGATCCACCGCCGCGGGGTTTGGGGGCGCGGGTGGCGGGGCTTCTGCGGCCTCGAACACGGGAAAGGTGAGCGGCTTTGGTGGCGGAGCCAATACAGCAACGGGCGGCTTTGGTGCTGGTGCCGGGGGATTCGGTGCTGGAGCTAATACAGCAGCTGGCGGCTTTGGTGCCGGAACTAATACAGCAGTTGGCGGCTTTGGTGCCGGAACTAATACAGCAG